TTCTAGATTTTGATCTTGACTTATGTTTAGATCTAGATATTCTAGAATTTGATTTGGATCTAGACCTCGATCTGGATCTTGAACTGGAATGATTTTGTGATTTATGCGGTGAATATCGAGATGATGATCTATGTATTCTTTTCTCTTTGTGTCTTGACCTTGAAGGTGATCTTGAGTTTGACCTTGAATATCTTGATTCAGAGCGATCATATCTGTGTTTACCTCTATACTTGTATCTGTCAGTTGATCTGGATCTTGACCTTGACCTAGAGCGGTCTCTTGACCTTGACCTATAATGGTCTCTTGACCTATAGCGGTCTCTAGACCTTGACCCATATCTTTCTCCAGACCTATGCCTTGACCTATTACTTGGTGACCTTGACCTTCGATAAGAACCCTGTCTGGACTCGTATCTATGAAATGCACGTTTGCGACTGTTATATTGGTAATCATAATCTGAATCTCGAAATTCATTGTTAGGATTTTTAAACACATGAAGAAAATTACATACATTGCCTTTAGGACAGGAATTCTGAAAAGACAGTCCTGAAAATATACAGATTTTGATAGTTAAAAATAAAGAATGGCTCGTGTAGTGACAATGATGGTAACCTACTCTGTTCACTATTACAAAATTTTATTTATCACTAGCTAAACCCACACTATTTTGGGAAAATCCAACACTCAATTACTTGCAAATCAAATCTGAAACCATATCTATCAAAATTAATTTGCAAAAAAGTCTAATAACAAATACATATCGTAATTAAACTCCAAGATTTCCATCTTTTGCCGGTTATGGCAGAAGGAGGGAATACATTGGTTTTCAGATAATACAGAATTCTATTTCTGTCAAAACTATAACAGAAGGCTGGTTAGAATCAACATGTATGTAGACATTGACTGTTTTATAGTTTAGTTCTGTTTTAATATATCATTATCATTCAAAAAAATACAAGTATACAAACCACAGATAGCTGACTTCCATTTGTCTATTGTTCTATATTCACAGTTTAACTGTTTACCAGCATACCATCTACCATTAAACTTAATTATAGCTTTACTAGCATCTTCTGGTCTGAATCAGAAATGTATCATTTATGGGTATTTAAAATCATACCCCAACATAGCAGAAATATTAATCAGTTGATTAAAACCATATTTTCAATTGTAGTGATATAGAATGAAATTAAAGCCTTTTGATTTCCAACTGTTGAAGGCAAAATATGCCAAAAAAATTGGTTCTCTAACTTGCCCATAATTTGGACATTTTCTCTCCCTAAATCTGAACACGTTTCCTCCCTCAATCTGGATACTTTTCCTACCTCAATTTGGACTCTTTCTTTCCCTCGATCTGAACACTTTTCCTCCCTCAATCTGGATACTTTCCTAACTCAATTTGGATACTTTCCCTCCCTTGATCTATACACTTTTCCTCCCTCAATCTGAATACTATCCAACCCTCAGTTGGGACACTTTCCCTCTCTCAATTTATACACTTTCCCTCTCTCAATTTATACACTTTCCCTCTCTCAATTTTAACACTTTCCCTCCCTCAATTTATACACTTCCCCTTCCTCAATTTAAACACTTCCCCTCTCTCAATTTAAACACTTTCCCTCTCTCAATTTAAACACTTTCCCTCTCTCAATTTATACACTTTCCCTCTCTCAATTTAAACACTTTCCCTCTCTCAATTTAAACACTTTCCCTCTCTCAATTTCCCTCTCTCAATTTAAACACTTTCCCTCCCACAAACTGGACAATTCTCTATATTGTGAACAACATCTATATTCATAGATACATGTACTTACTTTTCAAAGGCAACATAAACATTTCCTCGAAGATGAGGTGCACAATTAGAGCAGACTTTAAACTGTATGACTTTTCCTATAGATTGAAACTCTGGCAAGACATCTTGATAAAATTCTAGAAAACTGTTATATAGATCTGTATCTTCATACTCTAAACTTAAATCTACAAAATATATTGTTCAGGGATAATTTAGAGAATATTGAATCCAACAAGAGAGCTAAGACATGAAAGCAGTAAGCAACCATTTATTCAGAGTGTAGGAATATTCCTCTTAAAACCCTAAAATCAAGAGCAATAACTGAGATGTTACCTGTATCATATTCATCTATTAATGTTTGATCTAGTCTAAAATGACTAAACATTCCTGGTAAAAGAACAGTATTACTCTCGGCTGGATATTCATGAGTTCTAGAACAGCTGAAAATAAAGTTACATCTTTGATCACAAATGAAAATCAAAAATTCCAACTAAATGAAGTATCACCAATAGGGCATAGTTTTTTAGAACATAACGTAATTTGGATAAGATGGATAAGAATTGTATTTATTTACATAAAAATGTTACTTAGTCAACACCTGTTCACCAATCACAAGTATAAAATTGGAAACAATAAATTTCATTGAAAATTACCATGCCCAAATCATAATTCTACTTACGTATCACCATATTTACAGGCTCCAGTTTTCATAAAGAATGGACAATTATTCTGTGGTCTTTGACTGTTATAATTGACTGGAGCTATAGGATTATGCCAGGCATTCTACAAAGTATTACAGACAATAATTCAAGTACGCTCAACTATTTTCAAGCACAAATACTGTGGTCATCAATGTCCAGTAGGAATATGTGAAAGAATATAAGAGTTAGCACTGAAAACTCTACAAAAATACTGTCATGAAATTGAATGCCTTAAATCACTTCGAAGACAATAAGATAACTTTCCTTAGTCTAACAAGACTGAGCCAGAATTTGACTTATTTCTAAACAATGACAATGTCAACTGTACCTTGTTTTCATTTGATGTTGCTTCCTTCAGTAAAGATTCCTAGAAAAAAATAATCTGGTTTCTTCACATTTCTAATAATATACTAACAATTAGAGTTAAGATTTTGTCATGAAAATACTTGAATTATTGGTTATTATTTCTGAAATACCATTTTTTTCATGGATCTGTATTTTATTTGGGTTGTATTTTCGGTAATCTTGATTGCTGACCATCATATATGTCAATATCATTTTAAAAAGATACATCCAGACTTCCCAATGAGCTATCATCATTTTCTAGTTATTTTACAGGTCAAGGAATATATACATAATACAATAAGATTGTTGTTGAACCTTTGACTTATGTGAAGTCTACAAATTAAAATCTTAGACAGAAGCTGTTCACAGTAACGACCAATAGTCAAGAACACTTAAACTATGAATTCTACTGTAATTAGGATTTGTGATTAGAATAACAATAAAAAATAACTATGAAATAAATAGTAGGATATGACATCAAGCTCCAAATGTCACCTTTCTATCTTTTTCTCTCTGTTCATCTCTTTCTCTTCTATCTTTTTCCTTCTCTTCCATTTTCTGAAGTTCCTCCCATTCTTCTTTAATTTTTCTCTGTAATGGTGAGAGAACAACAAGTATGTATCAAATAGTACATTTATGACCAACTAAAGCTCAGTCAGAATCCACAGCTTTACAAATGTAAAGACAAAAGTGACAGTGCTGAAATTGATCTCAGTCAACAGGTAAAGCAAATATTTTGGTGATTGTATCTATGAAAGCACTGATTCTTATTACCTGTTGTTCTTCAAGATAATCTTTCTCCTTTTTTTGTCGTTCTATTTTAGCTTGAAATAATTGTTGGGCTAATTTTTCTCTTTCTAAAAATAAAATGTGCTGCATTTCTTTTTCCTTTTCTTCTCGTATTTTTTTCTCTTCATCAGAGCTACTGCCTTCATGAATATTTGTATTTTCTGAAAGTAAATTAATATGTCAACATGAAAAATCTCAGGGTGCAGGCACACAAACAAACAGTCTTGGTCACTGACTCAAATCTTGAGTAAAATCTCACGTGTGCCTGATTATCGCGTTGCCAACAGTATTTTATAATATCAAACCAGTTTGTACAGTAGAGTAACCTATTTTCGTGGATATAAGGATTCAACACCGAATTTCGTCATAGTTAAAAAAACGAAAAAAAAATTTAATGTCATAGATGTTTCCTCAGATATTCTACAAAATAATTAAAATTGGTTTATTTCAATTTTCTTTATGAATCCTTCACTTTGACCCATAGTTCATGAGCAACCAACTCGGCAATGGCGGCAGAATGCGTCACTCATTTTCGTGTACAATGTTTGATCTATAAATAAGTCTAGAAAAACACATTGTATGGATACCGGGTGGTATAATTAACCTCTCTTAGTATTTATCTTTAATATCAATTCATTATAACTAGTGACAATTCCTTCAAAGAACCACGATTTAAAAAAAATATAGTGACTGACAAAATAAGATATGTAGCGTGTTTTATTGCTAAAAGTCACTGAAACAACATAAGAGTACAGTCCTCTTTGTGTTCCATAGAAATTTTCTGCTGACACGGAATCCGCTAGTTGATCATGTGACTTCATTCGTTGGAATATAATCTAGCAGACGACACTTGGAATTCCGATTACCGCTTGGGATTATATGGAAATTCGGCCGATAAAAAATGGTATCGTTTGGTAATAAGTGAAATCCGCCATTTTGTATTCGTCAAAGTATACATTATTACATTTTACCTTGCTTGAAACTACTGGATTCATTCTACTAGCTGACATTGTAGATAAAACCCATGTTTATCAAAACAAACTAATGCAGAGGTCGCGCAAGGTCGCTCATGTAAATTATTAATCCTTTCCGGAAATCCACGAATAATAGGTTTCCACGAAATTAGGTTACTTGACTGTATATCTTAAAAATTGTAGTCCAGTCTTTTCAAATGGCTTATGGCTTACCTGATTTTCGATTTTTCGCCAGTAGTTGTCGTTTCTGTTTTCGTTTCATTTTTTTCCATTCCTTGTGACTAAAATAAAATTCTAAATATTAAGAATGAGATACCAAAAATATAGCTGATGCCGAACAGACAGAACAGGCGAATCACGACTTGACAAAGTCAAAACAAACGAAGGAAATATTAAGACATTCTTGGGATTCCTGACTTGATAATAATTTAGACTTTCACTCAGTCCAATTTCAATTAAAAGGCACCAAGGCCTGCACTAGAAAATTGTCTACTAGTGGCAGTTCTTTGCGGCGGATTTGTTGATGGCCTCTAGTTGTCAGCATATTATCAAATCAATGCATTGTGTTCTGTAGTCTATATAAAATAAATAGACTTCATCCCAGAATAACATCAGATCTTGATTTCTAATCTTATTCTAAACAATTTATGCACCACTTATTAATCTAAATCATACCTCATTTGATGAGTGTCTTTATCATCTTTTTGTGCTTCTACCTCCGATTCTTTTTTCAATGAAACATACTTTTCGTTTTCGGCAACCATGTTTGTTTTTATAACACAGGCATTTGTTAAGATATCCAAGACTTATGAATGGCGCAGTAGAAATGATCATGTACCAAAAACAAGTCATGCATGGTTATTCTTTTAAACAACTGTTAGTAAACAGCATAATTTAAGCTTCCAGTAGTTTTCATTCTGGGACATAAGAGTCTTTAAAATTAAATGAATATTTTGTCGTTTATCACGAACGCCTTTGTGTTCCTCGCCTTTCTTGCCGAACTTTATCGTACAAAATTGCCGAACTCAAGTTCGCCGACCATTTTCTCGTAGTCTCTATTACCCAGACTTCTCCTGTGGGAATCCGGGAATCCGGACACAACTTGGACCACTTTTTATAAGAACCGGACCAATTTCAAAGACAACTCGGAACACTTTTGATAAGAATCGGTCTAACGTTCAAGACTTAAAATGCTTTTTCTTATAACACTCATTCAACTTTCAATTTTTGACATTTTTTTAGGGGGGGGGGGGATGATGTTTGGCCAGTTGTGCTTCATAAGCTAATCCATATTTAAAACCGCGCCAAGCAAAGCCAATATATATTATTACAGTCAAGTAACCTAATTTCGTGGAAACCTATTATTCGTGGATTTCCGGAAACGATTAATAATTTACATGAGCGACCTTGCGCGACCTCCGCATTAGTTTGTTTTGATAAACATGGGTTTTATCTACAATATCAGCTAGTAGAATGAATCCAGTAGTTTCAAGCAATGTAAAATGTATTAATGTATACTTTGACAAATACAAAATGGCGGATTCAC